AACCAAAGATTAAAGGGGCCAATATAATTTCATAAGAGTCCATATGTATAGCTAAAGGCTACATAATAAGCAACAATGCCAGACAAGCGATACCTTCTTTTGAATTGATGGCCAGAATGGCCAAAGGGATTCCCAGATAGTGACCCAGCATAGAACTGGGAAAATGAACAGGAGACCCTAGTCTTATCTAAAGGAATACTGACAACTGATTGGTGCTAGATGAGGAACAGCTGATCCCCCTAAAACAAAGACCTCTAGATAGGCTGACTAGATTCACCAGAAGGGCAAGTAGTGGGGAATGGCTGGGGGTGCTGACAACACAGCAGACAGTAGCAGGGATATACGAGTGGAAGGGCTCTAGTGGGGGGAGGGAGGCTATGGGAGGGTGCTACCTGGGAAGTGGGTGTATAAATAAATAAAAAAGAAAAAAAATAATTCTTCAAAGCATAAAAATTTGCTCCTTAATAATTAGTAGATGTGAAAAACATTACCATTGACATCTACCTAATGACTCTGTATCCATGCTCAGCTGCCAAGGAACTCAGAAAGTAACCAACTGTGACTAGTAGTAATCAGATATATAGATTAGAAAGACATGTGCATTGTAGTGTCAACTATTAAAAATGAATTTTTCTGTATGAAACTGTATTTTAATAATGAAATGGAGATCTTTTTTATAAGTTTAAAACCTCATTTAATTTTAAGTTTCAGTTTATACTGAGTACAATATTATATAATTGTATTAGTTCAACTGTAATCTTAAAATTCACAGCCAATTTTGAAAGAGATGCATCTTAGCTCAGGAAATTGTTATTGAATATGTCAATGGTGTTATAATGAAATGCTTCTTCTAATTATATGGTTATTGAATAAATAACTTAAAAAAAAACTAAAAAGAATTATGGATTCTTTAGATGAAAATAATTGCCACACCCAAAAAGTCATGAACTTCTTTTAGTAACTGTATTATTTTTTGATTTTTTAAAATATTTTATTATTTTTATTTTATGTGTATGAGTGTATTGCCTGCATGTGTGTGAGTGAAACTGTGTTGTGCAAAGTAAGAAGAGGCTTTGGATTCCCCTAGAACTGGAGTTCAAGGATGGTTCGTAGCAGCCATGTGGGTGCTGGGTATCGAACCCAGGTCCTCTGCAAGAGCAGTCAGTACTCTTAACTGCTGAGCCATCTCTCCAGCCCCTGACTGATTTTTATTTTATTTGTACAAGAGTTTTGCCTACATGTGTAAGTGCACCCATGACATATAATGCCCATGGAGGCTAGAGGAGTGAGTCAGTTCCCCAGGAACTGCAGTTACAGACAGTTGTTAGTCGCAATATGGGTGCTGGGAACAGTATCTGTGTCCTCTGCAAGAGCAGTCAGTGCTCTTAACTGCTGAGCCATCTCTCCAGCCCTGTACTATTTTTTATTGTGTGTATATGTATGATGTGCATGTGTGAGTGCAGGTGAGCTACAGAAAACCTGGAGGTTAGAGGACAACTTCCTGGAGTTGGTTCTCTCTTTCCACCTTGTTGAGGCAGGATCTGTCTTGCTGTTTCTGCTACCCTGCATATACCAGGCTAGCTGCTAAGCTTTGGGGAATTCTGTCTCTGCCTCTCATGTTGCCATAGAAATGCAGGGATTACAGATCCAAGCTACTACATCTCGCTTTTTATGGAGCAAGTACCTTTATGCTGAGCCATCTCACCAGTACTCAGTACCTATACTATAGATGATAACCACAAGACTATTATTCTGAAACTGTCATGTAATTTTGGGGAAAAAGCAAATTATACTTACCAGCTTTGACCACTGAAAATCCTAGAAACTTTAACCAGTCCAGAATCAAAGAGATCAAAATCCATTTCCCACTAAAGAGAACTAGAACAACTTGGAGAAATAGCTGCTTCTTGGTCTATGGTAGGAAATGTTCAAGACTCTCTTGCCTAGTTTGCATACTATACAACAAACAAAATGAGCACTCTCATGTAGCCCAGGCTGCCTCAAACTTGTGATCCTCCTGTCTCAGGTTCTTGAATTTTGGGGTTATAGGAGCCTACCACCATGCTCGGCTAATCTTTCACATCTATGAATAGAATCTAGTATTGAAAGTACCTTTCCCACACAGATTTCACCACCAAGTAAACGAATGTTAGATGTGAGGAGGTTGAAATTACTAAAATTAGCAATAAAAGAGGACATTGTGAGACGAACTTACAAGGCCCCTCCCTTTCCTGAGGATCTGCAGGCAATTAACAGTTGCTGGGGGTGGGGTGGGGGGGCAGGAATTCTCTGTAACTACTGGTAAGATGCCCATGCTATTGTAAATAGCCTTTAACCCATGCTCCTGTAAGCAAACCTAATGAAAATCACTGGGTCATCAAAAATAAAAAACATACGAAGTAGAAGGGGACTAGTTGAGGAAGGGGATCAGCTGGAGTAGGAGAGATAAAGGAGGGTAACAGAGGGTGAGCATGAACAAGACATTGTATGAATGTATGAAAATGTCAGAATGAAACTCATATGCACTTAATATATGCTAATAAAAGTACAGAATGAGGACATCATTACAAATGTGCACCCCAGCATGCCTCCAAAAGCCAAAGGAAGACTTCAAGTCTCCTGCTCTATCACTTTCTTTTTCCTTTATAAGGCAGTGTTTGGCCGGAGAGATGGCTCTGCTCTTGCAGAGAACCTGGGTTTGATTCCCAGCACCCACATGGTGGCTAACAACCATACACCATAACTCCAGTTCCTGGGGATCTGATGGCCTCTTCTGACCTCCACAGGCATTGCATGACACAGATGCACTTACATATATGCAGGCAATAAACTCATAAACACACAAAAAAAATAATAATAATTAGAAAACAAAACTGTGTCTTACTGAACCTGGAGCAAGGCTGGCAGCAAGCCCTAGCAATCAAGCTCTAGGCCAGTCTGGCCTACATGAGATCATGTTTCCAAAACACAAAACAAAATCTATTTTTTTTTCTTTGACCTAGTTATTTAGTACAAAAAACAAAAAAGAAAGCACACTCACCAATAAACTGTTTTAGTAAACACATGGTGATGTTTGATACATACCTTCAACTGAACTGGACATTTTCCATGTTCTGTTCTCGACTCGACACTGGTGCATGACAATGATGTAGATTTGAGTTTCTTACGGCTCTGAGGCTTGAAGTTCAAGACTGGAGGAACTGTATTCACCAAATTAAGTACTGTCTGTTGTCCCTGTGTGGGTGACTGATTTACTGCTGAGTTAGAAAGGACCTTGGACTGGAATGAAGATCCGGAAGGTCCTAAATTACAATACTGGTCCTGCTGTTTGTGTTTATTAGTCCTGGGGCTACCCTCAGGGCTAGATTCTTTTCTATCCTTTACACTGTTTTCCTCCTCACTTGAATCATCATCTGGTAAAATAATTCTGGATAATTTCTTTTTTGACTGCATACAGTTTTGGTTAACGCTCATTTGTTTTAGCTTTACTGCTCGTCGGGTTTTGTATCTTATATTCTCATTTGTAAAGGAATCTTCAGTTAAGTTAAAATCAACACAAATTTCTTCTCCTCCTGATTGGCTTTTGCAAGACTCCTCTTCATCAACACAGAAACTATCCTCTAAGTAGGTTTCATCTTGTTCAGGAATCTATAATAAAAACATATATGAATGGTTGACTTTACCTCAGATAACCAGCCTGAATTCATATATTTTTAAAAGCATTAAGGTTCATTACATTTATTTTACTCACTTAGTCACATATTCAATGAACATATACTGAGTATAGAGAGAGAAAAATGGAGACCTGAGGGCAAAAAAAGAGTATTTTATCCACTTAGAAATTTATAGTCAACTGCAGGCAGCCATAAAGGTAAACAATAGGGGCTGGAGAGATGGCTGAACGGTTAAGAACACTGACCACTCTTGCAGAGGACCCGGGTTACAGTCCCAGCACCCACATGGCAGCTGCAAACCGTCCTTAACTCCAGTTCCAGGGGAATCTGAAGCCCTCTTCTGACCTTAGAGGCAGTGCACGACATGGGTGCACTCACATACATGCAGGCAAAACACTCATACACATAAGATAAAAATAATAAATAAAATAAAATTCTTATAAAAAAGTAAACAATAGTAAAAAGTTGTGGCAAGTGCCATATGATAGATACAGTGTTAAGTATAGTAATATGAATAACCAATTATCAAGTTGAATTTGGCAGGTTACAGATAGAGAAAGTATTACCCATAAGTGAAAGGCAACCTAGCCAAGCGTGGGTGTGCCTGTAATCCCAGCTACTTGGAAGGTGGAGGTAGAAGGGTCACTTGAGTTCAAGATAACGTATGAGGTGGGTAACAGCTCAGAGGTAGAGCACTTGCCTGGTATATGAGAGTCACTGGGCTCAATTCCCATAAATAAATACATGACTAAAAGATCGGCATGCACGACATAGTGAGATCTCATTTAACTTCTAAAACAAGCCAGGTGTGGTGGCACACGCCTTTAATCCCAGCACTAAGGAGGCAGAGGCAGGCAGATCTCTTGTGAATTCAATGCCAGTCTGGTCTACATAGTTCCAGGCCAGCTAGGGCTACATAGTGAGATCCTGTCTTAAAAAAATCATCCTAGCACTGTGGACACTGCGAATATCAGATTACAGAGGCCAGCCTAGGCTACATGGCAAGTTTGGAAAAAATACAGCACATGAGGAAAATTTTAATAATACATAATATTCTATTTCATTTAAATATACCCCTAGTCAGAAACAATGTTCATAGTAAAATTATCGAAAACAGCTCTGACTACCCAATTTTAGAAACAAAATGGAGTATTCATTAATGGGAATTTATTTTAAATCATCATAAGGAAATTCTCTACTATTATTTTCATATCACATACCTGTGAAAAAATGTTCAGGTCGTTATATTTCTGATGAACCATTTTGTACTTATTGCTCATCAATGGACTACGTATAGATTTCATGTAAATAGCTCTCATTTCAGAATCTGTATAAAGATAAGAATTGAAGATAAAGTAGGAAAATCATTTAAATAAGTTTGATCTTTTCCAAATTTACATGACTCAAGCATTACGAAAAGGTTTTATAGAGTATATAGGAAGACACCTAAAAAATTATTAAAAGTACTCTCAGAAGTTTTCCCTTTGAAGATCATCATCTAGCTGGGTGGTCATGGGTAACATTCTCAACCCTGACTTGGGTTGTCTTTCTCTCCTGAAAATGAAGACAAAGACAGTAACTTTCTCCTCAAACCAAAAGCATTTGGAAACTTTAAGACTACACCTGGTTTACAGAAGTACGCAAACCAAGAAATCCAGCCATGCAGAAAAGAAAATGTACTGAAATAATTATGGCAAAGCAACTTTCATAACTTTTAGGAAAATGTGGGAAACAGGTTTTTATTTATGGATGTTTACCATTTTAAAAAGTTATAGCACAGGGTACTTATGTGTTACATGAAAATGAGAATTCTGATGTACTTTTTACTTTTTAAATATTTTTAAAATTACTTTTTGTGTATGAGTGTTAAGTGTATCCATGTTGTGCAATGGCCACAGAGGACAGAAGAGGGTATTAGATTGTTACATGGCGTTGTTAGCCACCATGTGGGTGCTGGAAACTGAACCTAGGTCCTCTGCAAAAGTGGTAAGCCATCTCTCTAGCCCCTGCTGTATTTCTTTAAAAAGTTTTGAATTCCTTCCTGTTTCAAATGTGCCATGTCTAAATAGATATCCGGACATCACTATTTTGATTGGAACCATTCCATCTGCAGTCTCTTCAATCAAACCGCAGCAACTTTGTCCATCTATCCAGTCAGCTTTGGTTATCCAGAATCCAGTCTTTCTCACCCTTACCAGTCCTATAGTGGCTGTAGAAGCCACTATTATTCCTCGGAGTACTGCAGTAGCCTCTGGCTATTCTATTTTTGTTGCCCTTTCAAACCATCCTCAATACAGAAGCTGGAGATTATACTATGTCAGGTCAGGGTTTCCTTGCATGCTCTGATCTTGCTTCCCACTACTTTCTTTCTCTCTGTTCCAGTCACAATGCTAGTCTTTGACTAGGCTAAGAGTACTCTTGTCTAAGGCCTTGGAACTAGCGCTTATCTTTGAATTTCTACCACATTTTTACTGAAAATCTGCAAAAGTCACTTCCATCAATTAAAAGGCCTAAAACCTTATTCTACCAATCATGTACCAAAGACACAGTATGATGAACTTTGTCCTTAAACATGTTTTTTCTTTAAACTCATAGAGCCTAAGAAACTTTGCTGCCTTAAATTATATCCCAGATTGCAAAACAGAAGAAATGACATAGATGAGATCTCTGAAAGACCAGAATACTAATGCTCCATCAGAACATTTCTCTCTTCTGTGACAGCCAGCCCGAGAATCACCTGCTCTAAATGTACTGCATATGCGCAAGCATTCCCTGGGTGGCCTGGAGACTCCTTTGTAGAGACTGGCTTTACGTTTTGCTTAGTTTTGTTTGGCTTGGTTTGGTGTGGTGTAATTTTGTTTGTTTTGTGAGACAGGGTCTTATTATGTAGCCCTGACTGGCCTGGAACTCACTATGTAGGTAGACTAGGCTGGCCTTGAACTCACAGAGATCCACCTGGCTCTGCCTGTGCCTCTGCCTCCCAAGTGCTGGGATTAAAAGTGGTGGCCATCACACCTGGCCCCATACTATTTTCTGAAAGCAGATCTTCCTTACAAATCTAGTAAGGTTAGCTTGCTCATTATTTGGTTCTAGTGGTTCACATTGCTAACAGTGCTTTCTTGTCACTGAGCAGATTCCATCTTCTCAAGGAGGCTTGCTCCTAATCCTCATTTAAAATGGTAACTTGATCTCACTAGGTACAGTAGTGTACACCTGTAGTCACAGCACTCAGCAGACCAAGCAGGAGTCTCTTAGGTCCAAGGTCAGCCTGGGCTACCTAACAAGATCCTATCTCAAAACAACTAAACTGAAAAGGCACCTTGCTCATGATCACTGTGCCTCCAACTTCAGCCAATTTAAATCGCAGTTTTAAAACTGTTTTTTCTGTAAATTTTTCAACCTATAATATACTCCCTACTTTAGTTATTATGTACACTGCCTATCTTCTTCCATTTGAAAGACAGCTTCACATGGAAGGCTTTCGGTCCTGTGTTCGCTGGCATACCTTTTTCAGGTGCTTTACATTACCAGGTTAATGGCAGGTGCTAAACACAGGTTAAATGAACATTTGACACCTGAGTCACCCAGGTCAATCTGAAGAGACCTCACTCAAGTTAGCACACACCTATAAAACAAGTAGGTCTAAAATAAAAAAGTACTATAGAATTTAAATGATCAAATAAATGTTTTGTATATACCAAATTTAATTCCTTTAATGTGAAGTTCCTTTGAATAAACATGAAAATATTTAATATGGCATTAGACACACTGAAAATAACCATGTATGACAGCATTTACCATTGACAGCCTGGGAAAGCTGCGTCTGGTCATTTACAAAGTCAAGTAGTGAGGAATCCTGCTCGTTTTCTGACTCATCCTCATCTGATGAAACACATTCCGCATCTTCTTCAGAAAGTTCTGCTTCATCATCTAAAAACTTCCGAGCTATGTTCTACAAAGAAACAAGGAAACATGAAGATACCCTAAAAAAATAATTTTCTTTTGCTGGGCATGGTAGCACACATCTTGGGAGGCAGAGACAGGCGATCTCTATGAGTTCAAGGCCAGCCTGGGCTACCTAGCGAGGTCCAGGTCACCTGTGGCTACAGAGAGACACTGTCTCAAAAATACGAGAGAGAGAGAAGAAAGAGAGAGAGAGAGAGAGAGAGAGAGAGAGAGAGAGAGAGAGAGAGAGAGAGAAAGAGAAAGAAAAAGAAAAAGAAAAAGAAAAAGAAAGGAATTTTCTTTTATGATTTTTAGCTCTGGAAAGTGATTTTTTTTAATTTTCATAAAAAATTCGAATTGGCATGTATTTGTACATATTCATGGGGCACAATGTGATGTTTTAGGACATATGTACTATATATAATGGTTAGATCATGGTAGCTGGTATATCCAGCACCTTACACAGTCATCATTTCTTGGTATGGAAACATTCAAAATACACAGTTAATTGTGTAGCAAAGCTACCCCACTGTGTTACAAACACTATTCCTCTTAAGGAAACAGCTTTCTTGTTAATGCATTTAAGAACAGTATCCACATAGAATTTCTCCTGATATTTTAGATTAAAAAACTTCTAAGGCCAGGCATGGTGGCCCATGCCTTTAATCCCAGCACTTGGGAGGCGGAGGCAGAGGCAGGTGGATGTCTGTGAGTTCAAGGCCAGACTGGTCTCCATAGCGAATCCAGGCCAGCTAGGGCTACAGGGAGACCCTGTCTCAAAGAGACCAAAAAAAGAAAAAAAAAAAAAAGCATTTAAGTCACTGTGTCAGCTGAATGCTTCTAAGAAACAGTCTACAGAGATTCATGGAGAGTTAAGCTTTGCCAGAACAAAATACTGCTGATCAAAAGGACTGACCAGAGGCAAAGGCGTTAAGAATTCGCTTCTAAATACTTAAATAATGAACAAAGATAAAGAAAAACTGGAGCTGGTGAAAGGGCTCAGCAGGTAAAGGTGCCTGCTGGCAAGTCTGATGATCTGAGTTTGATCACTGGGACCCACATGGTGCAAGGAGAAAATGGATCCCGCATGTTGTCCTCTGACTTCCACTCCCACACTGGCACCCTTGCACTCCATCTTCCTGCCACACACAAAATTAAAATGTAAGAAAAAAATTTTCTGTAAAAGAAAGCAAGGAGCTAGAGAGTTGGCTCAGTGGTTAAGGGCACTGGCTGCTCTTGAAGAGGACCTGGGTTTGAGTCCCAGCACCCACAGCCACCTGTAATTCCAGTTCCAAGGGTCTGACACCATCTTTTGATCACCACAGGCACTGCACAACACAGGTACACTTACATACATTCAGGCAATACAGTCATACACATAAAATAAAAATAAACTATTTTTTAAAAATTAAAATAAGAAAGCAGTAGGACTACAAAAGCATATTTTCTAAAATTCAGATCTGCCTCTATATTTTCTTCAATTTGAACAATAAATTCTCCATATACTTAAATTTTCATTTTTTCATTTTTCAAAATAACTGCTGTAGGATAAAGTCAGAACACTATGAAAATCAAAAATAGTACACTTTAAGATTTTTAATTCCAGGAAGAATACAAAATTTGTGGGAAAAAATTTTCTTAATTGTATTTTTCTACAAACAAAATGTATATATATTATATGCATACATAACATACATTTATGAACATATGCACATATGTGTACTCATACACGATATGTACTTATGTAACATATACTAATGAGACTAAGAAAAGATCACCTTTACATAACTTGGTCTCTTTTGAACTTTGAAACCTCTTCCGGCATTCCTGTTACAACTCTTGAAGTCTTCCATTTGTGGACATGGTCTGTGAAAATTCTCACCTTCATCACTAGATGATAATTCTTTCTATAAAAGTTTAACAAAATTCTTATATCAGAAAAAGATTAATTGGATTGATTTATCTTATTGTATTTCTCAAGAGTGAATCGTTTTATTTTCATTTAAAAAATTTAGGGGCTGGAGAAATGGCTCAGCAGTTAAGAACACTAGCTGTTCTTGCAGAAGACCCGGGTTCGAATCCCAGCACCCACATGCAGCTAACTCCAGTTGCAGGGGACCCAACAGCCTCTGCTGTCTATGGCATTGTGCGACATGGGTGCACTTACCTATATGCAGGCAATACATGTATACATGTAAAATAAAGATGCTACTAAAAAATTTGCCGGGCGTGGTGGCGCACACCTTTAATCCCAGCACTTGGGAGGCAGACAGGCAGATCTCAGTGAGTTAAAGGCCAGCCTGGTCTACATAGTGAGTTCCAGGAGAGCTGGAGCTACAGGGAGACCCTGTCTCAAAAAGACCAAAAATAAAAAAAACAAAAACAAAAATTTAAAATATTTGACTCAACATTCTACTAGAAGATTGTTTTCACAAGTCAGATGCATTAATATCAGGTGATATAGTAATATCAGCACGATATATTCACTCAATTTAGCATCACATCAAATACACTTGATGAAAACTATCAGCGTTTCCTTTAGAGTCTCAAGGACTTCACAGAAAATACAGTTTGTCCAAACATAACAGGAAACCTTAGGAATCGAGAAACAGTAATAAGTTTTCACTGAGACCTACAACTACTACTCTTACAAAACAATAAGAAGCCAAACAAAAGAATGGAAAGTTTATCAAATAATTTCAGTTAATAGGAATAGTTTTTGTTGAAGACAGTGTAACTATCAGTTTTGTCAAAATTTTAATTCTCTTTTCATAAGCCAGCAGCCATTTTAGTTAAGACATCACGTTAAAGCACTTTTTCTAGTGAAGCAAAATTTTAAATGAATATACAAGACTAATAAGAATTGGTTGTGTTTTTAATTAATTTTTCCCAAATTATCATAGATTACATATAAGATGTCTCAGGTATCACCTGCTGATTCTTACTGCTACAGTAAAACACAAATGAAGCAGTGTTTCATTTCAACATGAAGCAGTTGGAACTTACTGGTTTGGGGTAGACAGGACGAAATTGTCAAGGTCAAAACCTAGTAAGGCAGAGAGATGCGCTTTCCCACCTCGGCCACTATGTACTCTATCCCTTCTGTTCACAACACTTTCTCTTCTCCCTTTGCCTCCTACCTGCCTCATACACTCTATAACTGAACTAAGGGATTTTCCTTCCAGTTACCCAGAACTCCCAACACAGTCTAACAACTTGTTTTTTCTTGCTAGAGCTTAATTACACTTGTTACACTATATGTTCTGCCCTATTGTATCTGTTAGCTTATAGTGACTCAAGCTAACATAAGGATGTATTCTTGACAGTATCCCACCCAGCAGGTTAGCGCAGCAGCAGTTGTATAGTAGGTATGTTATGAATGTCTGCTGAACTGCTGAAGTCTACTGACAAAAGGAGAATGTCTTTTTCAATTTATCTTTTAGTCCTTTTGAGCTAGGGTTACATGTAGATTGGGCTGGCCTCAAACTTACTGTAATCCTCCTGCCTCTCCCTCCCAAGTATAGGGATTACAGGTATTTGCCACCATGCTTGGCATTAGAAAGTCTTTTACAGAGGCTTTAAAGAGAATATTAAAATTATTAAAATTATTTAGTATTTATTATTTAGGACAGCTTAAAATGAATGTATCGCTCTAACAAAAATAGAAAATCTTGTCACATATAGTATTTATTTTGGGTAAACATATACTTTTAAGATATAATATTTATCCCAAAAGAATTTAGGTACTGTGGCTAGAGATGGCTCAGCAGTTAAGAACACATACTCTTCTTGCAGAGGGCCTGAGCATGGTTCCCAGTACCCACACTGGGTGGTTCATAACCTCCTGTAATTCCAGCTCCAGGGGATTAGATGCCCTCTTCAGGCAGCAGCACTTCTATGTACATACACCCAAATACACATAAATCTTATCAAACGTTGTTCATAATTTACTTACTCGAAGAACCCTGGACTTTTTTACAGCATGAATAGGTGAATCAACTTCACTGTTTTTCTGATCCTAGATGAAACAAGTAAGTAAACAGTTTGAGTAAAATGTGACACAAAGTCTTAGAGGAAAGACAGCCTTTGGTCATATCACTGTGATCACTGAATGACTCACCTCAGGGGATTTCAGGACATTTCTTTTTGTTTTTTTAGATTTTCTTAAGAAAATCTCATCATCTTCACTTTCACTACTTAAGTGCTCATCTAGAATTAATTTAAAAATGAATCTGGTCAATAGATTAAAGCATTCCCAATCATTAACTATTTTATTGATAATAAAGGTATTTGATAAAGGTATTGATAAATAAAGGTATTTCTGGCAATCTCAATTTTTTTCACATTATTTTCAATTTTTTTTTTAGTTCAATGCTGTTTATTGATGAGTGAACGAGAGACTACTGACAGACATGCCAACGATACTCACATTCAATGGCTGGAAGCGAAAAGCCCAAGCTGAGTTACTGCATAAGCCTTTTGGGAAAAAGAACCAAAAGTGACATCAAGTAGTAGCCCCACGCTTCCTGACTGTTGTCAGGTGTTTTCAACTGGATGGCTGGGTAAAGGCTTTCTATCCCACGCAAGGACTCACACTCCAACTTACAGAATGAACACTAGATTGTAGCAGTTTGTCCTAACACACATCTAAGTGGGTTAACGGATCTTAAAGCTGCTTTTCCTTAAATTTCCTTAGGTCTACTGAGAAAAATTAATTTTATTTCCCTTTCCTTTCACATGGGCAGGACATACCAACAGAAAAATAGTCTGTGGTGAAAGGCCATCAGGCTGGGCATGGTGGCACACACTTTTAATCCTGGCACTTGGGAGTCACAGGCAGGCTATTTGTGGAGTTGAGGTCAGCCTGGTCTACACAGCAAGCTCCTGGCCAGCCAGTGCTACACAGTGAGACCCTATCTCAAAAAACACACAAAACAGGGTCATTAGAAGTCTGGCCAAAAACATCTGCATATGGAAGAAAGAGAAATCAAACAGTGAGTAGCGGGCTGGAGCGATGGCTCAGCTATTAAGAGCACTTATTGCTATTCCAGAGGACCTGAGTTTGGTTCTGAACCCCTTATAACTTCAGACCTCCACTGGCCCCTACACGTGGTATATAGACAAACACATATATTTAAAAAAATAATTTTAAAAAACTGAGGAAAATAAAAGACAATAGCTTTTGCTAATAAAGACACATTTAGCCAGGTGTGGTGGCGCATGCCTTTAATCCCAGCACTCGGGAAGCAGAGGCAGGCGGATCTCTGAGCTCAAGGCCAGCCTGGCCTGGTCTACAGAGTGAGTTCCAGGCCAGCTGGATCTACAGAGAGACCTTGAAGCAGCAAGCATGTACCCACACATAGACACACACACACATAAATAAACACAAACTTTAAAAGAATATAATGGCTGGGGCTGGAGAGATGGCTCAGCAGTTAAGAGCACTGGCTGCTCTTTCGGAGGATCCAAGTTTGATTCCCAGTACCCACATGGCAGCTAACAACCATCCGTAACTCCAGTTTCAGTGATCTGATGTTCTCTTCTGCCTCCACGGGCATTGCATGACAGGAGTACACTTATATACATGCAGGAAATACACTCATACACATAAAATGAAAATCATAAATATTTTTTAAAACAAACCAAAAACAGTCAAAACACCAAACCAAAACCAACAAAACACTCAGAGAAGGCATAGAGTGACAAAGACACCTAGCACCATCCTCCAGCCTCATGGGTGTGTACACGTGTGAGTGCAAATCTGCATACTCATGTGCATTCCTTTCTGTCTGTCTGTCTGTCTGTCTGTCTGTCTCTCTCTCACACACACACACACACACACACACACACACACACACACACTTCTTCCAAACCTATTCAAGCTTTCAGAAAACTGAACTAAAACCCTGGCCAGTAATCTCTTAACATCCTGAGGCAGAACTACTTGTGGCAAGATACACAGAAACCTAAGCAAATAATCTTGTTTTAAGCCATTATGTTTGAGGACCAGTTAATTATGTAGCAATAGAAAAATCACATATATTTTGGTGTCTAGAAAGGGAGAGTTGCCATTACAAAAACGTAAACTGTAGAAGTAGCTTTGGAACTAGATGGTGGGCAGAAGCTGGAAGGATTTTTGGAGGTTTGTGAAGGCTTAGAAATTGTTTATAGGAAGATTAGTGGGCTTTGAGGAAGCTATTGCTAAGAGCTTAAAGGAAATCTTCCTGGAAATTGGAAGAAGAAAAATCCTTTAAAAGATCATGTCAGAAAGTTTAACCATGTTACAGTAAACATAAAAGTGGAAAACGTACCTCATGAATGAGGTGCTCTAGCTAGGGACTTACATACAGATCTATAAGGTGTTACCTGTTCATTCTTGCTGTTATAGCTAAACACAAATGAGAGATACATTACTTTTAAAATATATTTATTATTTTATGTGTAGCAGTGTATAGCCTGCATGTGTGTAAGCGCACCCATGTCGTGCAAGTCCCACAGAGGTAAGAAGAAGGCTTTGGATCGCCTGGAACTAGAGTTATAGACGGTTGCTAGCTGCCATGTGAGTGCTGGGAATCGAACCCAGGTCCTCTGCAAGAGCAGTTATTGCTTTTTAACCACTGAGCCATCTCTCCATCCCCTGAAGATACACCACTTTTAAACTTGGAACTTACTGGCTTTGAAATTTCCCAGTCTCTCCCAATGGAAAAAAATACTAAAATTGAGAAATTCATTGGGGGGGGGGTGCTGAAAGGGTGGCTCAATGGATAAGGACATTTGTTGCTCTTACAGAGGACCTGGATTTGGTTCCCAGTACCCACATGGTGGCTAACAAACATCTGTAACTAGTTCCTGACATTCCAACGCCCTTTTCTGGCATCCATGGACACTGCATGTACATGGTACACTTAAATACATACAGGCAAAACATTCATATACATAAAATAAAAATAAATTTAAAGAGCACTTTAAAAAAATAAAAATAAAAAGGAGAAAGCTTCCATGCAAGATCAAATCCAGAGGCTAGCCAAGAAAACATACAGTTGAGGGTGTAAGAGCAATGCTCTGTGAAGACCTCTGTAAGGTTAAAGCTAGTATATTGCGTCCAGGCAAACAATAGGACCTGAAATACCTTAAGAATGTGCCTCAAAGGTCCTCTCAGACTGGAGGCCTGTGATGGAGCTGAAGGAGTTATTTCCAGACATCAGAAAAGAATCTCAAGGTAAAAAAGGTCTTTTATTCAAAAGATTTATGGATAACAACAGTGTGCAACGGACTGATCGCCACAAGCCACAAGAAATGCATTTATAAAAACTTTTAAGATGTGTAAGGACTATACTGGAAGAAACAAGCTAGCTACAACAGAAAGGGATAGATAGCAAAAATTGATTTTTAAAATTATAAATAAATAATTATTTGCATATGTATTGTTGATTATATTACATATAATTAACAGTTAAGTACAAGGCTAGGAAAAGTTTTAAATCAGAGATGACACAAAACCAGAAAAATTACCTTGTCCATCAATGAGGAATTGTAAAGTATTAAAGCAAACACTGAAGGCTCAGAGGTAACACAGAACAAATGAAAAGTATCAGGACATACTCTAAACTGTACTTTAAAAAGTCACCGTGTTTCACTGGGCATGGTACATGCCTGTACTCCAACATTTGGGAAGCAGACACACACCTGAGGATCTCAAGTTTGAGGCCACCCTAAGCTACACAGTGAGGTCCTGTCTCAACGACAACAACCAAAAAAAAAAAACAAAGAAAAATCAAACATACTTCCTTTGACTTTACTTTAAACATATCCTTGCCCTCAAATAACATAAAAACAAGATTTAGAGTAAACTTATTTTATCTTACAACTGTTTGTCTTTTTCTACTCATCTGGAAAAAAATTTTCATAAACAGCCTAATGAAAAAAGAGTCTACAGCAGGATTTAAAGGACATTTAAGTCACAGGGTCACATTAGCCATGTGTCCGAGGCTGGTGTGACACTAGTAATCCTCCCATGTCAGTCTCCTAAATGCTGGGATTATAAGTATGCACCACCACACCCAGCTTACATCATTATTTTTCCCTTTTGTTTTGGAGACAGGGACACACTATGTAGTTCTTCCTGGCCTTGAACTCAAGAGATCCCCTGCTTCTGCCTCCCAAGTGCTGGGATTAAAGGCAAGTGCCACCACACTCAGCTCCAACTTGTCATTTTAATGCCTAATATTAATCTCCGTATTTCTAGTTATAAATTCAGATCATAGGCTCTGGATATTTCTCTTGATCTTGTAGTCTGGTCTTAATCTTGTAACATGGTATTATTTCTCAAATATTTTGTTAAATAAATACTTCAAACTCTCCACCCAAAATCTTAGTTTCCTTCCTTTCCTTTGTTTCATTTTCCAAAATGAAATCTTATTTATTTATTTATTTATTTATTTATTTGGTCTTTTTGAGGCAGGGTCTCCCTGTAGCCCCAGCTGTCCTGGAACTCACTCTGTAGACCAGGCTGGCCTTGAACTCACAGAGATCCGCCTGCCTCTGCTTCCCAAGTGCTGGGATTAAAGGTGTGTGCCACTTTCATGTATATGAATGTTGTACCTGCACATACGTTAAGTGCACCTGTGTCATGCAATGCCCACAGAGGTCTCAAGAGGATGACAGATTATGGCCCCACCCAGAACTGGAGTTACAGATGGCTGTTAGTTGCCACGTGGGTGCTGGAAGCTGAACCCAGGTCCTCTAGAAGAGTAGTCAGTGCTCTTAACCACTGAGCCATCTCTCCAGCCTGTTCCATTATTTTCTAACATTCTAATTCTTTACTATTTTCAACATCTAAATTGTATATAATCCTGAGGAGTTAAAATGAACATCAGCGATATAAATGAAGCCTTTTGTGCCGGATAGCTTTAGTGTCAACTCGACACACCTGGGTTGAGGGAGCCTCAATTGGAGAATTTCCCTCATTGGTCTGACCTGTGGCCATGTCCATGGGGCATCTTCTTGACTGTTGAGTGATGTGGGAGGACTCATCCCACTGTGAGTGGTGCCACCCCTGGGAAGGTGGGCCTATGTTGTATAAGAAAGCAGGTTAAGCAGGGGCCAGGGGACAAGCCAGTAAGCAGCATTCCTCCATGGCCTGTGCTCCAGCTCCTGCCTCCAGGTTCCTGCCCTTGAGTTCCTACCTTGGGTTCCCTGATGAACTGTGACCCGGGAGATGTAAGATAAATAAACCCCTTCCTCCTCAAGTTAGTATTGGTCAGAGTGTTTTGTCACAGTAATGGAGAGACAAACTCGGACACCTTTCTAATGCTATCTAACTCAATACATACTTCATCATCCTCAAATTTTCCTAAACATACTATCTTATTACTCATTTGGAGATTATTTCAACATTTTCAATGGCAAATTTCAACTGACATATAACTGTAGTTTACAACCAGGTAATTGGGCCAAATCTGACACTTCTTTGTGTCTTTGAGAGTATTCAACATGATATGTTCCCATGGCACACAGATAAAAATCTCATAAGTATCAACTTAAGAAAAAAATATATATACCAATTATCTAATTTGACATACATACTGAGAAAAAGTTAGTTTTGGAAAATTACAGAATTATTCGCAAATAATTTTTCTTGAAAGTCACTGATTTCTTTTAAGAATGGAATCTTACCTTCAGTGCAATGACTGGATTGAGGCAGAGAGAGTTGATCACTGATTTTGTTAGGAAATCCTAAGCCAAAACTTGAACTCCATGTTTCTTTGAAGCTTTGTACACTTGCTTTCTCCTTTTTAGAATCTGGAGTCTTAAGTAGTCCCTCTCGTTTCTTAGAACACAAGTTTAATCTGTTTGATTTAGAGATTGGTGTACTCATAACTTTTTCCTGCATTGGCAAGAAAAATGGGGAGAAATGAGTAGACGTAAGTGCTTTACTCTTTGCTGCTCCCAGGGTAAAATGTGCAGAATGTGGACTCTGCATGTGAACTGTGGTCGGCATGGGTGTGGTCCCACTGGTAAAGGCTTCAGTGTGATCTCTTGGCAGATCTAAAGCATCACTGGCATTCTTCATCTCCTTGGTATCTGAAGGCCTTCCAGGTACATCATCTACTCCTTTACTATTAATTGTATCTGACGCATGCTTTATTATTTCATCATCAGACTCTGAACCACAAAATCCCAAGTCAAAGGTTACAGAAAATAAATCCCTAGAGCAATCAAAGGAATGCTCATCACTCTTCCATCCTCCTCGTTTTTCTTTCAGCTCTTCATGAGATTTCCAACTCTCGGTATCGCCGATGATTTGATCTTCAGGTTCAGAATCATCAACAAACAAAAGTTCATCAGAAATTAAGAACTGAGACACTGGAGCCATTTCACTTACAAGATTTTTATCTGACACCAACAGAGGTTTATAATCACTCTTGAAGGGAGAAAGGCTCACATCATTAAACTCTTCAATATCATCTTCAAATAGCAGTAAACTCTCCTCTTGATCAGTCGGTGCTGGGACGTCACTGTCATCATTACGGCTTTTTCTCTCAACCAAATTCTTTGTAGGGTCTATATGTATTTGAGTGTCATTGCTACATACTAAATTTTCATTCTTAGTATCATTATGAATCTTATCAGAGTCACAGAAGTAGGGCTCATGAGAAATCGTCTCTTCAGTTGTAACAAGACGTTTTTCAGAACTATGATTAACAAGTTTAAGTGAATCCAATTCTAAATTTTGGGGGGAATTCACAGCAGAATTTGACACCAGAGAAGGGAATTTAGGATTTTCTACATGCACTGCATATGGTACACAGGACACATTCTCAAGTTCAAAAATCTCAGTAATTTCATGCTCCAAGTCTGAGAGTTGACTGAGAGGTGGAGGAGAATGTGCTAGAAATCTCTCCACATTAGCTACTACTTCTTCTGTCAATGAAGAACAATCATCACACTGTCCATCTGTTCTATCTGCATAAAGCTCTTCTTCAAATGGCAGAAACCAATGTGAAGAAACAGATTTCTCATCATTGAAACTACTATAACCAGAATCTAAGGACTTTCTAGCAAATGAGCTGGATTTATCTGTAACCTGACACTCCATTAGCAAGGAGTCTGGATGGGTAACAACATCTTCCTTGACAGTATCTGTGGCAGCAACTCTACTTGTTCCTGCCATCCTTCTGTCACTCAGTGGGTCAACCTGAGAAACAGCTTCCACAGGAGGATGTCGGCCAGAGCCTGAACAACCCGCATTATCGTTTTCTGTATCAGGCCAGTCTTCTTCCATTTCTTTAGAAGCTTTTTCCATTAGAGAAGTGATTTTAGTGCACTTGGTATGAGTTTCTGTAAAAAGCTCAGCACACTGTCCATCCGATTCTGACACTAATAATGAACTGTCTTGATTCACCTTCTGTGCAAATGAAGATTTCTTGTGGGTAATACTGAGGCCATTGGCTACACTATTATATCCACACCTGGGAGTGCAAAATGTTGAACTGATGTCTTCCATTTGTAAATAAGGTTTAATTTTCAATTCATAGCTACATTTATCCTACAAATAAAGAACATGAGAAAGTCACAGAAAAACAAAACACAAAAGCCAGTTCTAAGAAATGAGTTTTTTCAGGCACAGTGGCGCACACCTTTAGTCCCAGCACTTGGGTGGCAGAGGCAGGCGGATCTTTGTGAGTTGGAGGCCAGTCTGGTCTATGGGATTAAAAGCTTGTGCCACCACACCCAGCTCTTTTTTTTTTTTTAAAAAAAAAAAAAAAAAAAAAAAAAGTTTCACTCTATATGAAAATATTTTCTAATATTCAAATGATTTTGTTTTAAACCTCAAAGATTCCGAAAAATTATAAATGACACTTTATGAAGTTATCTTGATCGGTTGATTTTTTTTTTTTTGTTCTTATTTTATTTTTTATTTTTCAGACAGGGTCTCACTGTATATCTCTGATTGTCCTGGAAATCCTTGAGACCAGGATAGCCTCAAACTCACAAAGATCTGCCAGTCTGCTTCCCAAGTGTTGGGATTAAAGGCAAGTGCTATCACACCTAGCATCAGTTGATTATGTTTTTACTTCAATACTTAGTACAGAGACAAAAGAATGCCAGCTATTCCTGCAATACAGTAAGTGAATATATAAAAACACAACTCTTCCAGTAAACATCTAAGTCTTCTTCCTCTATGTCATCAAGCTAAAGGTTCAGTCTTTACCTCTTCCTCCCCAAGAATGCGTCTTTCGTCAAGATTTCTCTAGCACTCACAGATTTAACCAGTCACCTTTCTACTTGTTTGAATAATAAATATAATGAATTAAGGTCAGCAATGTCTGTCTCCTTGCTAGTAATATGATCCACAGAGACCTGTTTTCTTTCTTATTTATTTCAGACAGGGGCTTTGTCTTATTTATTTATTTATTTATTTTTATTTATTTCAGTCAGGGTCTTATTATGTAGTCCTGGCCGTCTTGGAACTTACTGTGTACGCCACACTGGCCTCAAATTCACAGAGGTCTGCCTGCCGTTGCATCCTGAGTGCTGGGATTAAAGAGATGTGTTGCTACTATGTCCAGTTTCTTTGATTTATTTTGGTTTTATTATTTTAAATCTATTTATTTTTATGTGTACAAGTGTTTTGTCTACTTGTATGTTGGTGTGCCACACATGTACAGTGCCCACAGAGGCCAGAAGAGGGAGTCAGATCCCTTGGAACTGGAGTTACAAATGGTTGTCAGGCACCATGTGGGTACTGGGAGCTGAACCCAGGTCCTCTGGAAGAGCAGCCAGTTTTCTTAACCACTGAGCCATCCCACCAGCCCCAATAATCAAGTTTACTTTTTTATTTAGCTGATTTTTTAATGATTTAATTTTTGCTTGTTTTTGAGAGTGTCTCACTATGTAGCCTTGGATGGACTGGCACTTGCTATGTAAACCACGCTGGCCTGGAACTCAGAGATCTGCCTGTCTCTGTCTCTGCCTCCAGAGTACTGGGATTAAAGGAGTATGCCACCATGCCCAGCCATTTCCCTTGGTTTGTCCACTGTTGTGACCACAGGGTCTATTGAAGCCAGCATGGAATACAGAAGTCATTCAGGAAATGCGTTCATCTGGTGATTTGCTGTGACCCACAACATTTAATTGTATTCATGAACATTCCTTCAATAAAAGCAATTATAACTTATCAAATACTGGTTTAGAGGCAGTTACTACATTAGTGCCTTACATAGATGATTTCATTTACTACTGCAGCCCCTTGAAGCAGGTACTCATTATGGGTTTCATACTCACGTAACAGATTCATTATTTGGACACCCATGGAAGAACAATAAAGAACCTGCCTGCCCAAGAGCTGGAGCCCAGTGGTAGAGTGCTTGCCTTACATGCATGAGACCCCAGGTTCAAGTCCCAGTACTAAACAACAAAAAGAAACTGCTTCAGAAATTAATGATTTCCTAAACTACCACCAGGATACAAGGAGAGACACCAAACTACCTATGAGAGGGAGGAGTATAATATTTCAAAAGAAATCCCAAATCGAATGCAACAAGAACCCTAAATTAGCTTTATAAACAGTTTACACAAATCATTAACATATTAAAATTTTACTGTGATATGACATTTACATGATACTCTTCTTGTAATTAATTAAATCTACTTCTCACAAAGCAGAAAATGGGTTCCTTTAGAGACACGAGGAGCTGTGCAGAAATCCGAAATATTTTTAGCTATAATTGCTTAAATACTTTTGCTACTTATGACAATGACTTCAAATTAATAATAAAGGTTAAGCGTTGGGAATGTAGCTCAGTTGGCAGAGTGCTTGCCCAGCATACAGGCGTCTATCCCCAGCACCCCATAAAACAATTGTGATGGTGTACTCCTGCAATCCCAACACTAGGGAGGTAGAGGCAGGAGGATCAGAAATTCTAGGTCATTCTCAGCTACATGGAGAGTTCTAGGCAGCCTGAGAACATGAAATAAAGGTTAAGCGTTGGGAATGTAGCTCAGTTGGCAGAGTGCTTGCCCAGCATACAGGCGTCTATCCCCAGCACCCCATAAAACAATTGTGATGGTGTACTCCTGCAATCCCAACACTAGGGAGGTAGAGGCAGGAGGATCAGAAATTCTAGGTCATTCTCAGCTACATGGAGAGTTCTAGGCAGCCTGAGAACATGAAACCCTGTGGGGAAAAAAGGGGGGGTTGGGGGGGGGGGTGAGTAGAGGAATAGGAGGAAGACAAGAAGACAAGGGGAGAGGAAGGGGCAGTACAGGTAAGCATTTGAGTTTCATCATCACACCAGCAAGACAGAGTCAGAGTCAGGTATGACAGCACATGCCTGGAATCCTAACATTTAGGAGATGAAGCAGGGGTACCAGGAATTACACAACAAGACCTTATCTCCAAAAATGGGGGGGGGGTAAAATCTCTACCTCTTCATGTCTCATTCCTTCCATCATTTGCATAACACTTATAAAATGGTAGCAGCGATCTGAATGGTCAACTTGATGGGTGGGTAAAGGGTGATCTTGCCACACTCTCCATTCAGAGAGAGAGAGTTGATGAATTCCAGTAGTTGGTTCTTGAGTCTTAAGGATTAAAAAAAGAACAAAAAATAAGAGAACATATACATACTCACCGAGATTTTACAAGCTGATTTTTAAAGACTCATTTAGAGACTCAATTAAGCACTCTCAACTAAAAATCTCAAGAGAAAAAAAGGAAAATTATATAAAGTATAAAGATGTACTTTTAGAGGCTGGAGAGACAGCTTAGCAGTTAAGAGCACTGGCTGCTCTTGTAGAGGACCCAAGTTTGAATCCCAGCACCTATATGTGGGCTCACAACCATCTGTAACTCTGGTTCCAGGGGATGCAACACCCTCTTCTAACCTCCATGGGCATTGCACGACATGTGTGTACTTATATACATGCAGACAATACACTCAAACATATAAAACAAGTAAATAATTTTTTTAAAAGATGCACTTTTAAATATTTTTTAAATAAACAGTCATCTGAGTGGCAACTTGACCATATTCCCATTTATAGTCCATATTAAGAGTACTTAAGAAAAGATATTTGACTTTGAAATGAGTCTTTTGCTAGATTATATCCCACTGTGTCATGAGGAGGTATCTGTAGGCCCCCAGGAAACTGATCCCAGCTCCACACACCTGCTGCCAGTCTTCAGTCTCCCTGCCAGTGCATAAAATAAGATCTTATAGCTAGACTTCCTAAAATAAATAATCCCTGAGGCAACTGTACAGTTTTCTCAACGCACATACAACCCTGGCTGTTCTCTCCGTTGTCACTAACCTCACTATTGTTTGTTCATAATAAGCAGTAACATGTCATTTAAAGTTTTAACTAAAATCTCAAAACAAAAAATAAGACATACAAAGGCACACAGGAAATATAAGCTACACTAGTAAAATAATGAAAAGAATCCTAAAACACAATAGGGAAATAGCCAAGCCAATTATACTATACTGCAGGTAAAAGAACTATGTAAGATATTGAAGAAAAAGCATAACATATCAAATCAGTTACATAAAATATTTATATATAGCCAGGTGTGGTGGTGCACACCTTTAATCCCAGCACTTAGGAGGCAGAGGCAGGTGGATCTTTGTGAGTTCAAGGCCAGCCTGGTCTACGTAGTGAGTTCCAGGACAGCTCGGGCTACAGGGAGACCCTGTCTCAAAAAGACAAAAAAAAAAAAAAATCTATATATAATAAGTAAGAAAATTATTAGTTTTAAAAAGTTAGACCTCAGGGAGGTCTAACTAGAGAGATGGCTCAGCAGTTAAGAGCACTGGCTGCTCTTCCAGAAGACTCACATTCAGTTTCTGGCACCCAAAATGGCAACTAACAACCATCTGTAATTCCAGTTCCAGGTGATCGGGTGCCTTCCTCTGACCTCCCTGTGTGTCACTGCATACATGGTGGTGCACTTACATACATGCATGGGAAATACTCACACACATTAGAAAAGTTAGACCAGTGATTCCTTTTAAAGTTAATTCTTAACTCTAAGTGAACTGACAATTCAATCATAAACATCTGTCATTACTGCCAAAGCCACTGCATAATCACTGCAAAGATTGTATGAAAACATATTCAACTCACTGGTCTGTTTTCCTTGTCCTGTAAAGATGGAAAGTGAACTTGAGGCAATGTTATTTCTTTAATTGTATCACTGTCCCGTAATCGATAGAGTCTGTTCCATAATTTAAATTCTTCTTCTGATAAGAGTCCATCTTTATATGAGTTACTTGGCTTCATTCCTGTAAGTTAAAAAAAAAAAAAAAAAAAGCTGAAAAAGAGCTAAAATGAATCTGCAAGGCAAACACAGAATACACAATATCAACTAAACTCTCTACTTTGATTTCTGTTCACTTCTGGCTCTGTTAAATCACTGGTTCCATTTCTAAATCTAGACTCTGTCACATAAAACCACTGTCTATTACTTCTCAATTCTGTCTATCTACTAAACTTCTCTCTTGCCTCCTTCAAAGAATTGCTCCAGTCTAAGAGCTAATCTTTAGCTAATCTTTAGCAGACTAGAGCCACATAGCTGGCCTCCTGGACCTGGCTTCTTTTAAACACTCAAGTAGAATCGAGTGTGAGGCAAAGTCAGATTAACTTACAAACAAGTAGTAGTATCAGAACAGCAGTATTCAAATGGTTATCTGAAGCATGGGGAAGGGAGAAGAGAGTGAGGACCAAAAGGGTTTTAGGTTTAAGTTTTACTGGGGTCGGGGGAGCAGGGAAACAGAAGGTATGAAGCAAAACTCTAGCCCCTGATAAATGTTTGCCAGGCCTCTCAGAAAACAAAACAGATGAGGGTAGAAAACTTCAAAGGCTACTGAATTAGGAACTTAGAAACTTTGGTCTGTACAATTCCTAAATACTGGGTAAGATGTTTTCAACAAACTACTTCTCTGAATCTGTTTCCCTATCTATAAAATAAGGGTTTAGGCTGAATAATTTTCCAGGTCCTTTTCAGATCTTAGAAACTCTAACATTTTTTTAAATGGGAAGAAACTCCAGTGTTCTAGTCACTTAAAAGAACTTCAGCCCTGTGCCCAGATAAATTACATACTAATGCACATGTATTAAGATTTATGAAAAATGTGTAAAACATAAACATACAATCTTGGAAAGGTGAATCAACTGACACTGGAAAAATCAGAATGGAAGGGGTAAAGTAGAAAAATGGACACCAGCAAATATTCTATAAAGTTTGTTTTTGAGACTGTCTCAAAACTGATGTAGAACCTGCTACTGTGGCCCAGGCTGGCTTTAGCACAAATGGCTATAAATTACCACGTAAAGGATGAAAGACTGTGCAGTAAATAGTGTGTCCTCTTACATGAGGGCAAGTTCCTGTTAATATGGTTAATATTGAGAACAGGCATAAAGGACTGTACCCACCTAGGTATATACATAGCAGAGAACTAGCATCTGCTTTTGTTTTCTTGTAGATTACCTAAAATACACACAGAAATCTGATTTCATGCTAATTAATAAAGCTGATTTCTTTTTGTAGTTTGTGGAGAGGGTTTTCTGGGATTGGTAAGGTATTTTCAGTTTTCAGTTTCTCCTACAGATTTTTTTTTTTTGAGACAGGGTCTCCCTGTAGCCTCAGCTGGCCTGGAATTCACTATATAGACCAGGCCTTGATCTCACAGCCTCTGCCTCCCAAGGCCTCCCCCTACTGATTCCTATCACTCTACCACCACCAGTGTCTTCTTCCCTTTGCCACATCAATACTTTAACTTTCCAAAGAGAATACCCAAAACATCTTGGAATATACACTGAGTTTTTCAAAGCAGAAGTACTGGATCAAGACAGGGCATGTGCTTTTCCTTTTGGCTGTAGCTGCCATCTAACTATTCTCCAAACACAAGGGAAAGAGGACAGGCATCCAATATATGATCTCTAGGCCTTTTAGAAAAATAAAGTTGTTCCTGTGGCCACATCTATGTGAATCTACAAGAGTGATAATGTAGATATTATGGGATGGGTACTGTTCAAAAACGAATGTCCCATAAATGCTGGCATTGTTGCAAACAAGCAAGTTAAGGGCAAGACTCTTGCCAAGAGAATTAACGTGCATAGTGAAGATAGTAAGCACTCTAAGAACCAAGCTAGCCTCCTGAAACTATTGAAGGAAAATTATCAGAAAAAGAAAAGGCCAAAGAGAAAATAACCTGGGCTCAAGTGAGGCTCCAATCTACTCCACCCAGAAAAACACACTTCATGAAAGCTAAGGGGGAAGAGCCTGAACTGCTGGAGCCTATATCATTAATTCATGGCCTAACAGATTACAAAAAGAAAGAAAAGACCTACACTGTGAAAAGAGAAAGGGAGGACAGAAGAGGGGAAGACAGGAGGGGAGGGGGAAAGGAAAAGGAAAGGAGATAGGGCATGCTAACTAAGAACAGGGGGATAAAGAATGTGTCAGATCCAAACTTTTATTTACCATCCTTGGAGGAAAAGAGAGAGAACTTTCGACTCCGAGAAGGCTTCTCTCGCTCATAAACACCAGGTGTGATGAACATCTTGTGTAATTCTGGATTGATTTTATCAGGAATCATTCGTGGACTTCCTTGGTAAAAATGAAGCACCTGTCTGTTACCTGAAATAGCTTTATAAATATTCTTTTTGTTGGACTGACTCTGATTATATGTCTGCAAAACAAATATAAAATGTCAATTTTCATTATTTTTGTAATAATTATTCAGTCATAACAATTATTACTTTGAGTTTATATTAAACTTTTATTCACTTTAAGTACTAGAGAACAGAATTCTTATAGTTGTAAATGTTAAAACATATGAGTAACCTGTTAAATACTTGAAGAAATTATTTCAAAATCCATTATTATAAAAGCTTGTCTTATATTGCACAGAAGAAATATATCTTATTGTCGGACTGCTTTTGAATATGGCTGATATTTGCACTTAAACATAACGTATTTAGTGCAAGGTTTTTTAAGGTGAGGAAGAATTTTTTAACATCTCCTTCCTTTCATATTGTTCATCTCTTACATTCCCACTTCCTTTAGTGTCCACAACAGCAAAAGCATCACTGTCCTTCCAGGGTGTGGCCCAGATTAACTAATACAGTCAATCTAAAGCACTTAGAGCACTGAACAGCACAAAGAAAGTGGTCATTACAAGTCAGCCATTATCACTATTTGGAAGATAAGAAAAAAAACTAACTCAATATGTTAAATGATTTGGATAGGTAACAAAAAAGCATTGACAATATCAGACCTTTTACAACATGACAAAGATTTCATTCATCAGAATCATTTGTAAGTAAGCTAGATGTTATACACGTGTCAAAATGACATGAACAGTACTAGTGAAAGGAATTCCTTTTTCAGATTTATTTAAAATGTATATAAAACATTGAAAATTGACTTCTAAAAATTATCATAATGAGAAAATCTACAATGTAAAACTATGCACTAAATTTGTCCCAATAAAAGCTAGTTGATATTTTAGTATAAAAAACACAAAAAAGTGTAACATCATATTTAGGAAGTTCTGTCATCCATGATTGTAGCAAAGTATTAATATAATTCAAGTTCCTTATCAAGTAAAAGAGATATGAACAAGCCGGGCATAGTGGCAAACACCTGTAGTCCCAGCACTTGGGAGGCAGAGGCAGGCAGATCTCTGTGAGTTCAAGGCCAGCCTGGTCTACATAGTGAGTTCCAGGACAGGGGGGGCAAAAGGAAGCCCCTGTTTAAAAAAAAAAAAAAAAAAAAAAAAAAAAAAAAGAGGTATGAACAAACTTCAATAAACAAACAAACTTCAATAAACAACCAGAAATCAATATATTAGGTTTTACATGGCACATAATGTCTCTGGTGCACATTGTTTCATATTTATTTATTTACTTAGCAAATTATGTAAAATGCAGAAACATTCTGTTTCCTAGAGTTTAAAAAAATCTAGAGGCTAGAGAAATGGCTCAGTGGTTAAGAGCTCTGGCTGTTCTTGAGGAGGACATGGGTTCGATTCCCAGTACCCATGTGGCAGCTAATAACCATCTGTAACTCTCCAGGGGATCCAAAACCCTCTTCTGGTTTCTTCGGGCATTACACACACAGATGCACTCATACACATGCATGCAAAACACATACATACACAAAATCTAACCACAATGATGTCTTAGAAGTGCAGAGAGGAGGGGCTGGAGAGATGGCTCAGTGGTTAAGAACACTGGTTGTTCTTGCAGAAGACCCGGGTTCAAATCCCAGCACCCACATGGGAGCTAACAACTGTCGGTAACTCCAATCCCAGGGGATCTGACAGCCCCTTCTGTCCTCTTCAGGAATTGCACAACACGGGCGCACTTACCTACCTGCAGGCAATACACTCACACACATAAAATAAAAATAATAAATATATTTTTTTAAAAAGTACAGAGAGGGGGTGTGGACGTAGCTTAGTTGGCTCAGTGCTTGCCTAGCATATAGGAAACCCTGAGTTCAATCCTTAGCACCCTATAAACTGTGTGTGATGGCAGTGGTGCACACCTACAGGTCTAGCACTTAAGAGGTATTTGCAGGAGGATCTGAAGTTCAAGGTCAAGGGGAGGTGTGGCTAGGGGAGGGGATCTAAATATGAGCAAATTATATTGCATGAAAGTCACAAAAATTCAATTAAAAAAATGGAGAGAAAGAAGAAAGTTTAAGGTCAACATTGGTGTAAAAGGGTAGAGAAATGGTAAAAAAAAAAAAACAACAACAACAACAAAAAAAACCACATACTGGTTGGTGTATCTTGGATATCTTTGAGTTTATACTCAAGTACTAAAATGTATTTCTTTATATGGATAAAATTAGGAAAGTGAATTCTTTCAGAAATTCTCATTATAAGAAAAAAATATTCAGAATTTAATAAAAATGGAGAAAAATGAGCTGCATTTACCTACAGATTGTTTGGACTCTGAATGCTAAAAAGATTCGTAACTCTTTGGGGTGTTTCTCCAATTTAAATGTCAGTCAGGCTTACAAACCTACTTACACGTTCTTCACGTCCTTCAGCGAGGATAACAACAATCCTGCCTTGACGTTTCCGACCAGTTCTTCCCATTCGTTGTATGAGACGAATTGGGCTCTTCTGGGCATCAAAACAGATTATAAGATCAACTTCCCCTATATCCAAACCTTCTTCACCAACACAGGTAGAAACCAAGGTGTTATAACCTCCATCACGAAACTGTCTCACCACCTGAAATAAAAACTCAAAAATTACTTGAATTACATCAGAATTGCAGATCACACCTTATTTTCCCACTTGGGAGGTAGAGGCAGGAGAATTAGCAGCTCAAGGCCAGCTTCAACTACATGAAATGCTATCTCAAAACACCAAATAAAGAAAAAGATGTTTCAAAGCTACATAAAACATTTTATCTGTTCTTTCAAAACATGCTTATTTTTACTTTAAGTATTAATTATAAAACTATCAATAAGTGACCAATAGACCAGTAAGCTGTTAACAGAGAAAGCTTAAGAACAAAGTTAATTAATTCCATCTGCAAAATTAATTACCTCCAGCTGCTCCTTCTGGGTGAAACCTTTTGTGCTTTTCCCTGAAGCATGGCCAACGAAAGTCATGACTCTAATCATTGGCCGATACTGTACAAGCATTTCTGCAATTTCTTGAACACTGTCTCGAAATGAAGAGAAGATCATAACTCTGGTCTCATGACATTTCTTTTCAGTGGTGTGTTTAGCTATGAAACAGAATATAGTACTTTCATTACAATTTTTTTTTTTTTTTTGGTCTTTTTGAGACAGGGTCTCTCTGTAGCCCCAGCTGACCTGGAACTCACTATGCAGACCAGGCTCGCCTCGAACTCACAGTGCCTCTGCCTCCCGAGTGCTGGGATTAAAGGAGTGCGCCACCATGCCCGGCTCATTTCAATTTTTTAAGAAGCCTTTAAGGCTGGGAAAACAGTTCAGTGATAAAGTGGTTGCCTAGCTTGTACACAGCCCTGGGCTCAATCCCTATTGTCACAAACAAAACAGGATGAAACGGCTTTTGGAAAAAACCTGGGAAACACAAGCCTGAAACTAAGTTCTAATGATTAATTATTTCAAAAAGCATTTTACGGCATCTTAAACTTTCTATTCTCATTGGTTATCATGATATGTCCTAAAGAAAACAAATTCCTGACTGCCAACAGTTCAAGCCCATGTCTGATCCTTTACCTTTTCAGACAGTAGAAGAACAGAATTGGAGTGCTCCAATTAATTTCACCAATTTTCTCTCTCTCCACAAAGGGCACTATTTAATCCAGGCCATGTATCTGCAAATCTGCTATGCTTTCAAATTCACCAGAGAGCACTGCATACTAGACTCTGGTCAGTTCCAAAGCTGTCCATGGGGTCTCTTGCTTGGGAGGCAGTAGAATGCATTAGTAAAACCTGTGCCTGAGCCACCTACTCTCCTGGCGATCTGTAACCAGAATGGCTACTCCACCTCTCGCCTAATATGGATTCAGGGTTAAATGATGCAGGAAATGGAAAACAGGTCAAGGTTAGTTGAAGGTGGCACGGGTGTTGGGCCTCATTACTGCTTTCCTTTGTGAAGCTTTGTCAAGACTCTGACAATCCCTGTTCTTCCACCTTAATCATCACTTTTTTTTTTTTTTGAGACAGGGTCTCCCTGTAGCCCCAGCTGTCCTGGAACTCACCATGTAGGCCAGGCTGGCCTTGAACTCACAGAGCTCTGCCTGCCTCTGCCTCCCAAGTGCTGGGATTAAAGGCGTGCACCACCACGCCCGGCCTTAGTCATCACTTTTGATATGTACACCAGAGACTACCCTAAGCATTCTGTCTGTATACTAGCTCATTTACACTTTACAACCATAAGGATTAATAAATTCACAATACAATAAGATCATAAGCAATAAAAGCACAATAAACAGAAGTCGTTAAAGGCAGCAGCTGCAGCAAGTAAAATCATTTGAGACTCTGAAGTGCCACAGCTGACGTCTCTGTCTCTCATCAAGCCATGAAGAGCGCTAATCTCCAGCTTGGAGCTGGCCTCTCCACCCTCATTTTACCGCTCCCGCTCCTGTGCCAAAGCATCAACAACTTCATGTTGCAAGTTTAACAGATGCCTTTTGGTTAGTTTTAACACTGTTCAGCAAAACTTAGCAGTCTGTTTGCTATTGACGTGGGTCCCCCATGTCAGAAACTTGGCTTCTTTCTCAGTCTCTCTGGTGGCTCTTTTTTTTCTCTAAACTCCAAATATTATTCTTCAGGATGCCACTCGGGACCCTCTTCTGTCTCCAAAGTATCTTTCTGGTGATTACATCCATTCCTGAAACTTTAAGTATGATCTTTACACAGATAATCCCAAAATTTGTTCATATATATATATATATATATAAATATATAAAAACCTCACAGACCAATCTTCCAAAATCCAGATTCATTTCTTCAATGCCTACTTCACAAAGCATAGAATCACATCCATTTAAGATGCAAAAAGCATCA